ATTGAATAATGATCAGTGATCAGTGTCTGTAATTGGTCAATTCTAGGCGACAGTGAAAGGCACTTTGCTCCCGATAGTCAAAATCAAAACTGGTCGAAGAAAATTTACGTGATGGGTGCTTCTCTTTCGCTCTCCTGTTCTTAAACTTTCAGATAAAATAAATTTTGAAGTTTTTCTGAAATCATAAATAATGCATAAACTCTTGTGTATGAATCATGTCCCAAGCGCCTTTAAGACATTGAACTCGTAGATTTTTATTCTTGCGTCGAAACCTGAGCTATTAATGGCGACGAGATGCGTATTGCTCATATGTCTGGTGCTAGCGGCATGCGTTGACTGAGACATTTTTTCAGGCAATGGTACGATAGATTTTCCAGAATTCCTCACTATGATGGCTCGAAAGATGAAAGACACAGACAGCGAGGAGGAAATCAGAGAGGCCTTTCGTGTCTTCGACAAAGATGGCAACGGGTTCATATCAGCTGCTGAGCTACGGCATGTCATGACCAATCTCGGGGAAAAGTTGACCGACGAAGAAGTGGACGAAATGATCAGAGAAGCCGATATCGATGGCGATGGCCAGGTCAACTATGAAGGTAGGTGGTCCCTGTTTTTGTGCAAGTCGTAAACCTGATTTTCTTTTTGTTGTTTTCGTACTCAATTTCGGACACTGTACCGTAATTTAAAGTTAAACTAGGCTGTGCGGTCACCAAGCGTGAAACTTGTACAGCATAGTAGACGAGTAAATTCTGTGGTCAACTAAATTCTTTTCATGCGATTATTTTCTATTTCAGGTGCCAAACATATAACCCGTTAAAGTGTTAAAAAAATTGTAATAAAATAATTGTTCCGCGAGCGTAGTTGATGACTGACGACATCGAAATGGAAATCAGCGTCGCATGATACAGAACGACGCCACAAATGATCCCTAATCATGAAAGTTTACCGGATATCGACCCGAAATACCCGCAAGCATAATTCTATCCGGTAGGCTGATACGGCGTTAACGTGCCACCTTGCTTCTAATCTTACGGTAATTAATGCGCAGGTGCTGAACTGCTGAGTGATTCATAACATTAGTCGTGAATCGCTTTTAATTAAATAGCATTTACAATAGAATAAGTCTTCTGCCTCATATTAATTTAGCGTTCTTTCGTAAAGAAACAAAAAATTTTTATTTTGCACACTGATGATAACGTATTAACTTGTAATGTCATAAAAGCTACTTATCTTTAAAGTGGTATGTCCTTTAAGCAGCAGTGCTGCTGAAATCTTGAAAATATCTCTAATTGCTGGATTGGGATTGAGGGAATAAATGTCTACAGGAATTATTTTTGGCCTGTTTTGTACCGTTAATGCTATTGCGTCGAAATTTGAAGAGGAGTATCAACAATACTTTTTAGTAGTTTGCTTCACCTGCGAAACAAACATTGTTTAAATTCGTGTTTCGTCATTCATTCGTTTGTTGAGCATCTGATATTGGATATTCGAGTCACTGTCCCAGTCTAATTTTCCTTCGCTTTAGCTAATCCCCTTATAGAAATAGGGACACAAACATCGTTTTCGGCTTGAAGGTGGGCAATAAGAAAACTTGGATGAGTTGTACCCGTGTTGAGACCTGTACTTCTGCGGGAGAGGTCCAGAGAACCCTCATTTTGTTTTGAACTTGATGACTAGCGAACTATGTTTTCATCCTTAGCTGGCCGACAGTTATCGAATTTCCTTTTCAGAGACATTTAACAAACAGGATGCGGCTCCATGGGTATTTCTTACACCTGCAGTGTATCGATTCTACTAATGATCACGTTAAAAACATCGTTTCTCTCTAATGCGTCGTTGTACGGCATGGCGAAAGGCGACAGTCGTTCTA